TTTAAAGGCACCAGATGCTCTGAGAGCTGGCACAAGGCCCAGTCATGGCCCCTGAACAGAAGGCATGTCTCCCTCCCATTGAGCCCATTGGGTGTCCAGCCCAGGGCACCTGCTGGACAAGTGAAATGGGCTCAGTGCCCACATGTGTGCCTTCTCCGAGCCCCAGGTGCAAGTGGTGGGCCCCAGCACTGCCCGCTGTTGCTGCTGGAGCCTTCCTCGGTTCCGACCAGACAATGCATTTGAGAGTATCAGCTTCACCAAGGGGAAAACTAAAGAGTGAAATGATCCCGCAACAATGCGAAGAACTTCAGTGTGCCCCACAGACTTTCCCATAGCCTCTTCTGTTTGATTTTCACACAGCCCGATCTGTCGCTGTCTGGCCAAACCTCTCTTCTTATTCCTCAGTAAGAAGCACCTCCCCTCTCCTCACCCAGGACTTTTTACATTGAATTTCCTGGAGAAATTGCTTCACACAGTCCAAATTGCTCTTAGACTCATCTTTATCTCTAGCTTGCATTGTGGAGGTTATATAAGTAATATACATGGCCAAGCTTTGGAAATGATGATGTGCTCTGTGCATTGGAATGTTTGGCAGAGCCAAACTTCCCAGAACTCATGCCCCTGCACTGAAAGACACCGGGCTTTCTTACCTTTCATCTGACCCATGAAAATGCTCTGGAAGATGTATTTCCCTAACGTGGCATCCACTGAAGCCTTTGTCCCCTAGTGTACCACACTTGCCCAAGGTCACAATGGCATCTGGCAAAGGACGAGCCACACATGCAGGCTCGTAGAATGTTGACATCTGAGTTGAGACGGCCAATTCATTTCACCAGGGAAGCCCAGGCATCTGATCTCCTCACCAGGGTGGGCTTCCTCGCCAGGCCAGACAGGATGAAGGCATGCCTGACCTTTTTTCATATTTAACCATTCACCCGCTTAACAGGGATGTATAAATGTATGGGTAGTCAAGGGCGGGTTCTCAGTACCAGAACAGTACATTTGCCTATTGTTTTAATCTGTGTCAATGGTAATAATAGTAATAGTGCGTGTTCTTTCAGTATCCTCTCATCTCACTGTATCCTTCCTGCAATTCTAAAGAGGCAGAGTTGTTCTCACCCTCATTGCTCAGATGTGACAACCAAGGCTTCAAGAAGTGAAGTGGCCTTTCCAGGGTTGCAGGGGCTTTGCACCCAGCCAGGCCATCAGCTCCCAAGCCTGCGCTTGACCCCAGATCTGTTCATCCACCCCTCTGTTCCCTTATCCCTGTGTTCAGTGTGCTGCATCATCAAACAGACCTGATGAAAGCAAGCTCCTGCTCCCCACTCACTTGTGTGCCCCTGCCCGTGGCCCTCACTGGCCCTCTCTGAAGTCAGTCTCTCTGGCTGTGATGGGTGTTCACTTGGCTGCCTCCAAACCACCTGCCTCCCAGGCAGCAGCTCTGAGCTCATGCCCGGGCCGGGCAACCCTGTGGAGCCAGGGGCAAAGGAAGAATAGTCATGCTGACCTTGCCTTCATTTAAAAGGCTGATATTTTGTTCATCAAGGATATTTTTGCACTAAATTTTTTTTTTGCAAATATAGCACTAAAATGTTGTTTATGTTGATTCCTGAGTGTTTTTGCATCCCCTTAGATTCTGCAGCAGTGGCAGGTGCCGCCTCACCTCACCTTAGTTTTGGCCCTGGTGTGTGCCAGGCACTGTGACCAGGAGGATAGAAAGGAGGATGAAGTAGATCCCAGCTCTCAGGCAGCTGGCCCTCTGTTGAGAGAGATTTTAAAGGCATTCACTACCCTGTTCGCTGCCCTAGGAGTGAAGAGTAACCTCCAGGCATTCATTCACCCATAGTCTTCCTGTACCTGTCCCCAGGGTTCAGACCACAAGCCTCTGCCACCATCTCCCAGTGTTCATTCTCCATCTACCCATTTTATTGCCTTTCAGTGTCCAGTTATGACGTCTACAGACAAATATAATATAGCAATGTTTTATTTGAGCTTCACTGAAACAGAAATTTGTTTGTTTGTTTATTTATTTGTTTATTGGAGATGGAATTTCACTCTTGTTGCCCAGGCTGGAGTACAATGGCGCGATCTCAGCTCACTGTAACCTCTGCCTCTCGGGTTCAAGCGATTCTCCTACCTCAGCCTCCCAAGTAGCTGAGATTATAGGCACCTGCCACCACACCTGGCTTTTTTTTTTTTTTTTTAATTTGTAGAGACAGGGTTTCACCATGTTGGCCAGACTGCCCTCAAACTCCAGACCTCAGGTGATCCACCAGCCTTGGCCTCCCAAAGTGCTGGGATTACAAGTGTAAGCCACCATACCTGGCCAAAACAGAAGTTAATGAAAAATGTATCCTGAGGCAGTTTGGGTCTTTATCCTGCTACACCTCTGTCTTGCAATTTCGCTGTCTGGTTGGACCAGTTCCTCCACTAAGTGTCTTCCAAATCCAGCAGTTGGTCTTTGAGACCTGTGTGTGTGTGTCTGTATCTCTCTGCTTACTGGGGAGCTCCTGGGGCGGCTCAGGGGGCTCATAGTTCCCACACAGTCCCTGCAGTCATGGCCGGAACAGATTAGCAGCTCCATGAAGGTTGCTTAAGTGAGAAATGAACACTGCAACCTCGGATACGGGAAGGAAGACGGAATTGAAGGCAGGAGCCCCCACCAGTTTAACCCTCTGTGATTCTAAGCCAAGGCACTAGAGGTAGGCCCCTTATTCCTGCCTTCAGCAAGCTGGTGGCAGCAGTTTTCTTGCTCAATGGAGACTTGGGAAGGCAAGGGTGGTCTCAGGGTCCCTGTTGAGAGTTCATTCAGTGGCTCATGATTAATGTTTGTTGAGCATGTACTATGGGCCAGTACATTTTGTGCATGAATTCCTTAAAATTTCATAATAACTGTGAGATACTATTATTATTCTAATTGTATTGATGAGGAAACTGAGGCATGGAGAGGTGATATAACATGCCTAAGGTCACACAAAGTATGTGAACCATTTTGGCCCCAGGGACTGATTCCAGGGCCAACCCTCTTCCCCACATGGCACTGCCCCTCCTAAGGCAAAGTCACCAGGCATTGACGGGACACATCACTTTCCCCAGGGTGGCTGATGAGACCTTCAGAGACGTTCTGTCTAAGGGCTAGGATGCATGGAGGAGAGCAGGAATGCAGGGCCAGGGCACGGCCACCCAGAGCCTCAGGCTGTTCGAAGCGGCTGAGTGAGTGCTTTAGACCACACAGGGTAGGTTGAGAGGCACCATGCATGCTTGGGAGGATGGCCCAGGTAACTGGGGGCCAGTGTCGCCACCAGCCCAGCCCCTCCCATATCATCATGGGACATGAATGTGAGGATGTGGTGATGGTGGCAGTGTGAGATTTAACAAATACATCTGGAAGGCCAGGTGCGGTGGCTCCCACCTGTAATCCCAGCACTCTGGGAGGCCAAGGTGGGCAGATCACGAGGTCAGGAGATCAAGACCATTCTGGCTAACATGGTGAAACCCTGTCTCTACTAAAGATACAAAAAAAAAATAGCTGGGTGTGGTGGTGCATGCCTGTAGTCCCAGCTACTCGGAAGGCTGAGACTGGAGAATGGCATGAACTTGGGAGGCAGAGCTTGCAGTGAGCCGAGATCGTGCCACTGCACTCCAGCCTGGGCAACAGAGTGAGACTCCATCTCAAAAAGAAAAGAAGAAGAAGAAGAAGAAATAAATCTGGAAGCAAGATAAACACGGTAGCTTCTTACCACACAAAACATTCATTTTAAGTCCACACTTTAATCTATGTTTGCATTAAGGACATGATACAGAGGAGGAGATATGGACATAATTTTAACTGCCATGCTGGTGAAAGCTCATGAAGTTCACAGTACAGCAACCTGGCATAAGTATAAATGGGCTGAGATTACACCATTCACTGCCGCCGAAAGGTGGGGCAACCCAAGTGTCCATAGATGAATCAACTGATACGTAAAATGTGATCTATACATGCAGTGGAATATGAGTCTACCTTAAAAAGGAAGAAGATTCTGACACATGCCGACAGCATGCAGCAACCTTGAGGACAGTATGCTAAGAAGAATAAATGAGCCACAGAGGACAAATCCTATATGATCCCATTCACGTAAGGTACCCAGAGTAGTCAGATTCACAGAGACAGAAAGTAGAATGGTGGTGGCCGGGGCCTGTGGGGAGAGAGGAATGCAAAGTTAGTATTTCATGTGTGCAAAGTTTCAGTTTGGGAAGATGAGAAAGTTCTAGAGTTGGATGGAGGTGATGGTTGCTCAATGGTGTAAAGGTACTTAATGCCACTGAACCTTACACTTAAAAATGGTTAAAATGATAAATTTCATATTATGTATATTTCACCACATAACTGAGATTGAATGTACTGGTGTGGTATGTGCTAATAAAGTTTAAAACAGCTCTGTAGGCTGGGTGCGGTGGCTCACGTCTGTAATCCCAGCACTTTGGGAGGCCGAGGCGGGTAGATCACAAGGTCAGGGGATCAAGACCAACCTGGCTAACATGGTGAAACCCCGTCTCTACTAAAGATACTAAAAACTAGCCGGACGTGGTGACAGGCGCCTGTAGTCCCAGCTACTCGGGAGGCTGAGGCAGGAGAATGGCGTGAACCCAGGAGGTGGAACTTGCAGTGAGCCGAGATCGCGCCACTGCACTCCAGCCCCTGCGACAGACAGAGCAAGACTCCGTCTCAAAAATAAAAAAAAAAGAAAAATACAGCTCTGTGCTGTGCAAGTGATCCTCACTGAAATAGAAGTGCTTGCTAAAACAAGGGAAGCTGAGACAGCCCCCGGCCAGGCCCAGGCATGGGAGATGGTGGTCAACTGGTGAGCGGGGACCTGTAGGGCCCAGGAAGACAGAGTACATGCCTCAGGCAATTGGCCAAGGCCAAGATCCAGCCTCCTGTGACAAAAAGCCAAGCCTTCGGCCTCAGTCTGAGGGTAAGGAGATCACATGCTCTTGTTTTCTGATCTGTCCCCCAGGTGGCAGTGACAAAAGAAGAGACTCTCCCGGCTGAAGCCCCGGTGCATGGAGAGAAGGAAGAAATCAATTTCCTAATTGGTACCATATACATCAGGTCAAATAATTTTCTTATTTTCTAGCTGCATCAACTAAAAATTACACCCAGTAGGAGCTGTGTGCAAGATGGGGTGGTCACAGTGAATGTCCCTGAGGGTATGGACCTCCCTGCCTGAGACCCTCAGTCCTCAGGGTCTTGCACATTAGGTGAGCTCATTTCCTGCATTCCTACAGAAAAACAGGAGTGCTCAGAGAAATGAAGCCCATGTCACAGCTGGACAAGGGCAGGGCCAGGGTCACATCAGGCTATGTGCCTGGCTCTAAAGCATGGGCCACTGACACAGGACCTACCCCACCAAGCGGCACCCATCCCAGTGGGTTACTGTGAAAGAAAGAACAGAGGACAGTCATCAATAGTATGGGATTCAAACTCACCCCCACAATCTGTAAAATTAATTACATGCTTACTAGCATAAAATTCTCCATTGCCTGTAATGGAGTCTGCAGACTTTTTCCGTAAAGTTCCAGGCAGTAAATCTTTTCAGTTTTATGGGCCTCAGGGTCTCTGTTTTAACTCCTCAACTCAGCTGGGTGCAAAAGCAGCCACAGGCAATATGCAAATGAGTGGGTATGGCTGTCTTCCCATAAAATTTCATTTACAAAAGCGGGTGGCATACCACAGGTTGCCCGTGGTCCGTAACTTACGGACGTTTTATCTACACAAACACAAGGATGCATTTGTACTCCATCAGCAAAGACTGAGCACCCACTGGGGACCCCAGCACCTCTGACTCGTGTTAAGTCTCTCTCACTTGCAATGTGACAGTTGCTTTTCCCCAGCAATCAGCTGCTGCAGTCAGCCTGGGTCAAGCTGCTGCACATCCATTCTCTTTCTCTGGCTGGGATCATACTGCCTGGGAAATCTGACATTCTTCAGAATGTTGTTGGATTGATGGCAGCTCTTAGATGGCAGATAGTTTAGTAGCCATCTTCAGCAAGTGTGGTATTTCAGTCAACTGTGGATTAACCTGGAGTCTTTTCTACTAGCCAAGTAAGGGGTGAGGGCTGAAGGGGTAGGATGACACACTGGTAAAGGCATAATTGGAATAGAGTGGGTAACATTCATCACATTGTGAAAGTATTACAAGTCTATACGGTTCGGAAGAGGATTAGAAATCTAGCAACTCCAATTGAATTTTTCTAGGTATATTTAGGTGTTTGAAATTTTAAAATAATCTAGTCTTTTTTCCCCATCAGTTATTAGAATTAATAAAATGTAAGGTCAGGAGCACTGGAAATAGTGATGACCCCTTGCCTTAGTCTATCTGGGGTGCTATGTCAAAACACAATAGCTTGGGAGGCTTATGAACAATAGAAACGTATTCCACACAGTACTAAAGGCTGGGAAGTCTGAGATCGGGGAACCAGCGGATTTGGTGTCTAGTGAGGGCCCATTTCCTGCTTCTTAGATAGCACTGTCTCCATCACCTTGGAGATGAGATATCAACATATGAATTTGAGGAGGAAACACAAACATTCGGCTCATAGTACCCCTTCTCTCACATGGCATGTACAGAGAGATGACATTTTAGTTCAAATTCTATAATATAATGTCTTGCATGAAGAATCAGGCAGTTGGACCAAACCAGTTCAGAAAAATATGACAGCAGGTGGAAATGGCTCCTGTTCTCTCCCTCGGGTCCCTGCATGTAGTTGTCACTTGCAGCTCCATTTCTGTCACGTGGTAAAATGCCTTTTCTCTTCTTTCCTGCAGATGGATGGTTTCTAGTGTGCTTCCAAACCCCACCTCGGCTGAGTGTTGGGCAGCACTTCTACATGATCCTATGACTCTTGATATGGACGCAGTCCTGTCAGACTTTGTTCGGTCCACAGGGGCAGAACCTGGTCTGGCCAGAGACCTGCTGGAAGGTAAGCCCACCTCCTTGTCCCCCCACACCACCATTCTGGGCATAACCACCTTCCAAATAAGAAGATTTCCAATACCTGATAACGGTGGTACTTGGACAGTATTTGGACTCTCAAAAGTGAAAGTGTTGGTGATAAAATTATTTTTGTTATTTTTATTTGGCTTATGAAATAGATCACCCAACTCTTGACAGTAAAGTTGCCGTGAAGCACTAATTGGGCTTTGCCTTGTGTCACATCTTACTGATGTTGAGTCAAAACTTATCAATGATTATTATATTTAAGAAAATATATTCAATGGAGCAGAAATACAAAACATTCAAGAAAATACTTTTATGGGAGGCCTTAGTTTCCTATCTCTGTGTTAGCTGAGACGAAAGTACTCTAGGCCAGGGTTTTTGGTGGAAAAAGCACCTACTATCCAGTAAAGTCACTGGGAGTAATTCACAAACAAGAAGACAGCCTTCATCCTCCAGCTTTTCACATAGATATCATTTGCTGTGTGAGAAATGTGCACCCTCCGTATGTGTGATGTTTTCAGATATTTATTCAGCTACAACCATAGTGAAGTAAAATGAAAGCTTAGATTCTGTGTCACTAAAATGGATTTACCTTTTTTTTTTTTTTGGATGGTGGCAGTGGTATGCCACTGGTAGGAAGGACCAGTCACAACTTCTCAGGACAGTCAGCTGTGTGAGAGGACAGAACTTTGAAATGTTTACTCTTTACTTCAAATGTATAAACTGCGATTTGTGGAGTTAGTAAATACTTGGTCAAGAATTGTAAGTCACAATGATTCTTTAAGTCACTTAGGGAAAATAAGAATTACTGTACATTTGCAGAAGTGGAGAGAACTATTCCATCGTATTGAAAATTAAGAACCACCTACTGAGGATTATCAGAAAATGGCAATGGCAAAAACATAGTTTTTAAATTTTCCCCAACCTCTTAGAATTTCAAACCAACTCCAAGTTTAGAATAAAATATGCTTAGAGTTTTTGCGATCTATGGAAATCACAATATGATTCTCCCTTCCTGCTATTTATATGATACAATGTCTCCCTGTCAGTTTCCATTATTTTTGTTAAGTGGGCAGCAGAGGGGAGAAACAGGCTTGGAATAAGGTCGGCAGTGAAATCTGAGTTCGAGTTTAGATTCAGCCACTTATCAACTATGAGATATAGGACAAATTATTTTACTTCCCTTACCCTCAGATTTTTCTACGTTGAACTTAACCCACCTTACGAGGTGACTGTGAATATTAGAAGTTGTGATATAAAATGTGTGGTAAAGAAGCAGCATGTAACAGATGCTCAAAAAAGTATTTTCATAAGAACATGCTTGTGGTGGCCATTATTGGAATTAGTACTAAAATCAGTATTAATGTCTAGACAGTCTTAAATAGGAAGCAAGAGATGTCATCTCTTTTCTTTATTTTTTTTACTTATATTCTTCACATTAAGATACAGAAAAATTAAGTTTTTTGTGTCTAGTTCTATGAACTTTAACACATATATGGATTTGTGTTATTACTACCACTTTCAGGACACAGAAGCACTTCATCACCTCCAGATTCTCTGTCCTGATATCTTTTATAATCAGACCCTCCCCTACTCCAACCATTGGCAACCTGTGCTCTCTTTTCTACCGCTAGTTTTGTCTCTTTGCAAGAATGTCAGATAAATGTCCTACAGAGCCTAATCTTTGAAACTGGCTCCTTTTCATGCAGTGGGATTATTTCGAGACTCATCAAGTCATGTGTCAGTGGCCGGTTCCTTTTTGTTGCTGAGTAGTATTCCATTCTGTAGGTACACCACAATATATTTATCCACTCATCTGTCCAGGGGCATTTCAGTTGTTATCCATTTTTGGCAGTTATGACTAGAGCTTCTAGAAACATTTAAGAACAGGATTTTGTGAATATGGTTTTAATTTTTCTTTCTTTCTTTCTTTCTTTTTTTGTGACACGCAGTCTCGCTCTGTAGCCTAGGCTGGAGTGCAATGGCGCCGTCTCAGCACATTGCAACCTCCGCCTCCCAGGTCCCAGTTCAAGCAATTCTCCTGCCTCAGCCTCCTGAGTAGCTGGGATTGCAGCTGTGGACCACCATGCCCAGCTAATGTTTGTATTTTTAGTAGAACCGGGGTTTCACCATATTGGCCAGGCTGGTCTTGAACTCCTAACCTTGTGATCCGCCTGTCTCAGCCTCCCAAAGTGCTGGGATTGTAGGTGTGAACCACCGTGCCCGGCCTAGTTTTAATTTTTCTAGGCTAAATACATATTAACCTTGTAAGAAACTGCCAACCTGTTTTCCAGAGTGCTGCACCATTTTGCATTCCCACCAGCAATGTCTGAGAGCTCCAGCTGCCCCACATCCTTGTCAACACTTGGTATTTCTTCCTTTTTTGTTTTTTCGTTTTAACCATTTGATAGCTGTGTAATGGTATTTCTTCATGGTTTTAAATTTCATTTTCCTAATAACTAATGACATTGAAAATTTTCATGCTATTTATCATCCATCTTTTTATTCTCTTTCATGAAATGTCCGTTCAAGCTTTTTGCCTATGTCTAAATTGAGTTGTTTACTTGAGTTTTAAGAGTTCTTTACATATTCTGAGTATAAATCCTTTGTTCAGATATGTGATTTGCAACTATCTTCTCCCAATCTGTGCTTGACTTTTCAGTCTCTTAACAGGGCCTTTTACAGAGCACAGTTTTAAATTCTGATGCAGTCCAACTGACGTTTTTCTGGTATGGATCTTGCATTGCGTGACATATCTGAGAAATTTTGCATAACTCCAGATCATGAAGATTTTCTCATAGTTGGGCTTTTTAAAGTTTTATACTTTCATGTTTTACATTTAGATCTACGATCCATTTGAGCTGATTTTTGTATATATAATATGTGAGATTTAGGTCCAGATTCAGTTTTATGCATACAGATAACCAATTGTTTCAACATCATTTATTGAAAATATCCTCCTTCTTTCATTGAAATTGAATTGCCTTTACAGATTTCACAAAAAGCCAACTGAGGGTATTTGTAAGAAATATATTTCTGGACAGTGGTTCTGTTCCATTAATCATTATGTCCGTTCTTCTATCAACACTGTGCCATATTGATTTCTATAGCTCTGTAATGAGTCTTAAAATCAGATAGTGTGATTTTTCTAAATTTATCCTTTTTCAAAAGTGTTTCAGCTATTTTTTTTTTTTGCCTTTCTGTGTGAACTTTAGGATCCACTTACCTCTATCTACTCTATCTATGAACTGTTTTGCTGAGATTTTGACTACAATTTTAGTAAATCTACAACTCAATCCTATGTTGTGTCTTTCAGTCCATGAAGGAATGCTATAATTTCCATGTACTTGGGCCTCCATTAAGTTCTTTCATCGACATTTTATGGCTTTTGACATATAGATCCTGTACATGTTTTGTTTTATGTATATCGGGGGGTGGGGTTGTAAGCTATTGTACATATTTTTTATTTCAGTTTCTACTTGTTCATTGATAATATACAAAAATATAATTGATTTTTGTGTGGTGATCTTGTATCCTACAATCTTGCTAAAGCTAAACTCAGTTTGTTCTAGGAAGGTTGTGTGTGTGTGTGTGTGTGTGTGTGTGTGTGTGTGTGTTCTCCTTGGGATTTTCTACATAGGTGATCATATTGTCTCTGAGTAAAGACAGTTTTATTCCTTTCCAGTCTCTAGGCCTTTCTGGTTTTCTTGTCTTGTTTCACTGACGAGGACTATTCAAAAGGTTAAACAGCGGTGTTAAAAAAGAAGATCCTTGTGATGTTCTTAATCTCTGAGAAAAAGCAGTATTTCACCGTGAAGTAGAATGTTGGCTATAGCTTTTAGTAGATGGTCTTTATCAGGTGAAGAAAATTTCTTTCTATTCCAAGTTTGCTGAGAGTTTTCTAATAAATAGATATTGGATTTTTAAAATGAAGATCAGATGGGTTTTTTGCTTTAAACTGTTGCTATACTAGATTACACTGATTGTCTTCCAGTGGTAAACCAGACTTTCAGCTATTTCTTTCCATGTTTCTATGTTCTACCGTTTTTTTCTTTGCTTCTGGGACTCAGATGACAGGACGCTCAGACCTTTTGTTGTTACCTAACATCTCTATGGTTCTGTTCAAGTTTTTCAAGTTTGTCTGTTGTTCAGATTCAATCATTTCTATTAATTTATTTATAAATTTACTAACTACTTCCTCCATCATCTTCTGTTAGTGAGCCCATCCAGTGGGTTTTCTATTTTAGTAGTTGACTTTTTTCATTTCTAAGATTTCCACTTAGTTCTTCTTCGTATCTTCTATTTGCAAAACTTTCTGTATTTTTTAAGAGTACCCTTCTTTACTTGTACAATATTTTTAACAACTGCTTGAAAATCTTTGTCAAATAATTCCAGTATCTGTTTCATCTCAGAGTAGCTGTTTGCTTTCTGTATGCTGAGTATGCTTTCAGTATGCTGAATTGTATCCTAGATATTTTAAATACTATGTTTTGAGATTCTGGTTATCGTTAAAATCTTACAGTGAATGTTATTAACTTTATTTTAGAAGATAATCACTCCAAATGGGTTCAGACCACAAATTCCTAGTTCCGGCAAGACTTGTGTGGATTGTGGTTGCTGTGAAAGTCTTTGAGATGTGGATCTATCTCACACAAGTGCCACCTAGTGGCCAGCCTGGGACTCCGGTGGTAGTCTATCCCGTATTTCAGCACTCGAAGTCTGTGTCATCTGTGTAGGGTCAGATCCACACATGCAGAGCTCAAGGGTAAGCCCAAGAGTTGATGAGCAACTGTCAGGGGTTGCTCTCCCGAAGCCCTTCCTCACTGTAACCTGCTCAGTCGTGTCTGGGTCCCTGGGCTCTACCTTTTCAACCCTCCAGCCAGCTTGGGTGGTTGAGGCTTGATTTACCCTACTCTCGGGTGCACGTGACTGAAACACGTCAGAGCCAAGCAGCCAGAAGCCAAAGAGAAAAAGCGTGAAGGT